ACCCCTGGTGCTGCTACACCCCTGGTGCTGCCTCCACACACCTGGTGCTGCCTCCACACACCTGGTGCTGCTACACCCCTGGTGCTGCCTCCACACACCTGGTGCTGCCTCCACACACCTGGTGCTGCCCCCACACCTGCTGCTGCCCCCACACACCTGGTGCTGCTACACCCCTGGTGCTGCCCCCACACCTGCTGCTGCCCCCCACACACCTGGTGCTGCTACACCCCTGGTGCTGCCCGACACCTGGTGCTGCCCCTCACACCTGGTGCTGCTACACACCTGGTGCTGCCTCCACACACCTGGTGCTGCCTCCACACACCTGGTGCTGCTACACACCTGGTGCTGCCCCACACACACCTGGTGCTGCTACACCCCTGGTGCTGCTACACCCCTGGTGCTGCTACACCCCTGGTGCTGCTACACCCCTGGTGCTGCTACACCCCTGGTGCTGCTACACCCCTGGTGCTGCTACACCCCTGGTGCTGCTACACCCCTGGTGCTGCTACACCCCTGGTGCTGCTACACACCTGGTGCTGCTACACACCTGGTGCTGCTACACCCCTGGTGCTGCTACACCCCTGGTGCTGCTACACACCTGGTGCTGCTACACCCCTGGTGCTGCTACACACCTGGTGCTGCTACACACCTGGTGCTGCTACACCCCTGGTGCTGCTACACACCTGGTGCTGCTACACACCTGGTGCTGCTACACACCTGGTGCTGCTACACACCTGGTGCTGCTACACACCTGGTGCTGCTACACCCCTGGTGCTGCTACACACCTGGTGCTGCTACACACCTGGTGCTGCTACACACCTGGTGCTGCTACACACCTGGTGCTGCTACACACCTGGTGCTGCTACACACCTGGTGCTGCTACACACCTGGTGCTGCTACACACCTGGTGCTGCTACACACCTGGTGCTGCTACACCCCTGGTGCTACCTGAGCTCAGCATTCCACTTCAGCTGATTTTTCAGACATCCCTGTGTACAGGAATCGTAGCAGACGTGTGGAAAAAGGCTAACATAGTTCCAATCTACAAAAGTGGCAGCAGGGAAGACCCCCTCAATTATAGACCTGTATCATTGACAAGTGTAATAGTCAAAATATTGGAAAAATATAATTGAAACTAAATGGGTAGAACACCTGGAGAGAAATGCTATAATATCAGACAGACAGTATGGTTTTCAATCTGGAAGATCCTGCGTATCGAATTTACTCAGTTTCTATGATCGAGCCACAGAGATTTTACAGGAAAGAGATGGTTGGGTTGACTGCATCTATCTGGACCTAAAAAAAGGTTTCGACAAAGTTCCACATAAGAGGTTGTTCTGGAAACTGGAACACACTGGAGGGGTGACAGGTAAGCAGCTAACATGGATGAAAAATGTTCTTACTGATAGAAAAATGAGGGCAGTAATCAGAGGCAATGTATCGGACTGGAGAAATGTCACAAGTGGAGTACCACAGGGTTCAGTTCTTGCACCAGTGATGTTTATTGTCTACATAAATGATCTACCAGTTGGAATACAGAATTATATGAACATGTTTGCTGATGATGCTAAGATAATAGGAAGGATAAGAAACTTATATGATTGTATAGGGTCTTCTTCCCTTCAAGAAGACCTGGACAAAATAAGTATATGGAGCAACACTTGGCAAATGGAATTTAATGTGAATAAATGCCATGTTATGGAATGTGGAATAGGAGAACATAGACCCCACACAACTTATATATTATGTGAGAAATCTTTAAAGACTTCTGATAAAGAAAGATCTAGGGGTGGTTCTAGATAGAAAACTATCACCTGAGGACCACATAAAGAATATTGTGCGAGGAGCCTATGCCACACTTTCTAACTTCAGAATTGCCTTTAAATACATGGATGGCGAAATACTAAAGAAACTGTTCACAACTTTTGTTAGGCCAAAGCTAGAATATGCAGCGGTTGTGTGGTGCCCATATCTTAAGAAGCACATCAACAAACTGGAAAAGGTGCAAAGACATGCTAATAAGTGGCTCCCAGAGCTGAAGGGCAAGAGCTACGAGGAGAGGTTAGAGGCCTTAAATATGCCAAAACTAGAAGACAGAAAAAAAAGAGGTGATATGATCACTACATACAAAATAGTAACAGGAATTGATAAAATCGATAGGGAAGATTTCCTGAGATCTGGAACTTCAAGAACAAGAGGTCATAGATTTAAACTAGCTTAACAAAGATGCCGAAGAAATATAAGAAAATTCATTTTCGCAAACAGAGTGGTAGACGGTTGGAACAAGTTATTAAGTGAGAAGGTGGTGGAGGCCAAGACCGTCAGTAGTTTCAAAGCGTTATATGACAAAGAGTGCTGGGAAGACGGGACACCACGAGCGTAGCTCTCATCCTGTAACTACACTTAGGTAATTACACACACATCGTGTCAGCGAGGGGGACAGTCAGCCTGCCATCATATCTCACACCATTTCTAAAATTTCATTTCGCCTGTACCTTACCATCCCCCTTCACTCAATACCCTTACTCCCGGGTGCCTGCTAACTGCTAGGTGAACAGAGGCATCAGGTGTAAGGAAACAATGTTTTTTTTTATTTTTGAATTTTTTTTTGAATGCCAAAACGTAAATGTCCCGCAGAAGAAGTTGAGAGGATCTCATTAAGTTATAATGAGGCAGATGTCAAGTTTAATTGGAATACAGATCCTCTGTGCTTCATACTTATCACAGCCAGGACGAGGCTGTTAATTACCAATCTTTAACGAGTTCTTAACTGCTTGTTAAGCTTTGTTTTGTGGGGGGGGGGAAGGGTGGGGGTGGTAATAGGGAGGGGTGAAGACCTGGGGGGAGGAGGTGTTCCGTCATGAGGGAGGGATAATGAGGGGGGTAGGAAAGATGAGGAGTGAGAGTAGTACCAGGTGAGTGGAGGTAGTAAGATGAGGAGAAGGAAGGAGGGACAGGTGAGGCTGGAGGGGGTGAGTGAGGTGAGTAAGCTGATCACCTCACTCACTTGGGGGTCCAAAGCCCCCCCCCCCCCCATCACCGGGGGGCGGGGGTGAGGAGAGGAAGGGTAGAAGCAGCACTACGTCGTCACTCCGCCCACTGGGTGGGTAGCTGGGTGGGGCAGCGGAGGTCCGGACCACCGTGCAAGGTGAGGGCGCCTGAGAGAGAGAGAGAGAGAGAGAGAGAGAGAGAGAGAGAGAGAGAGAGAGAGAGAGAGAGAGAGAGAGAGAGAGAGAGAGAGAGAGACACTCCCTCCCATTTTCTTTGGGAAAATGGGAGGGAGTGTGTTGATGAATTAGTGTAACTGAGATAAAGACCGTAAAGTCCAATTATTATGCTTTATGTCCAGAATATAAATCTCTATGTTTCCTGGGTATTATAGACAGGTCATTCTCTTACGATGTCTGATTATTTACTAAATAAATTAGTACAGTAATTAGGCATTACTCAAAACTCGTTCATTTCCCGGTGATTTCTCTGTCTACCGTTAATACTGATTTTTTGATTGTTGCCGCCGGAGGCGGCTAGTTTATTGTGCACCCCATACCCATCCTGTGAGCGGTAGCGCAAAAAGCATTACAGAGGGCACAAAAGGTCTTTATCGGACCTCATCTTAGATTATTACATAAACAATTTCATCTGTTAATAGACAAGTGATAACCTTGCTTGTAGCAGTCTATCTTAGTTATCAACAATATATCCTGCCTCGGAGAGGAGATAAGTCACTGGAGACTGAGATAAGTCACTGGAGACTGAGATAAGTCACTGGAGAATGAGATAAGACACTGGAGACTGAGATAAGTCACTGGAGACTGAGATAAGTCACTGGAGACTGAGATAAGTCACTGGAGACTAAGATAAGTCACTGGAGACTGAGATAAGTCACTGGAGACTGAGATAAGTCACTGGAGACTGAGATAAGTCACTGGAGACTGAGATAAGTCACTGGAGAATGAGATAAGACACTGGAGGATGAGATAAGTCACTGGAGACTGAGATAAGTCACTGGAGACTGAGATAAGTCACTGGAGACTGAGAAGTCACTGGAGACTGAGAAGTCACTGGAGACTGAGATAAGTCACTGGAGACTGAGATAAGTCACTGGAGACTGAGATAAGTCACTGGAGACTGAGGTCACAGCTGGGCCAGGTGTAGGGGTGTTGAGCACACGAGAATAAGCTGAAACCTTCAGAAATACTCAAGAAATGACCTCACAGGAACAGCTGATATTGAAATACATCAATAATAAGAATTTAGTAAAAAGGAGGAGATGAAATAAAGCTGTTAAGAGGAAGAGGAGGGAAGGAAGAGGAGGGGAGGAAGAGGAGGGGAGGAAGAAATGAAGGAATAGGGATAAGTAGTGAAAAGTCAATATATAAAGAGACGCAGGAGTCCCGGCAGCTCCACAGGTATAGAGTGCTGTGTGGGGTCCACCTCTGTGGGGTCCCGCTCTGTGGGGGTCCAGCTCTGTGGGAGGCTGGGACAGGGAGTGGCTCCAGTGTTGGAGAGGCTGCCTGTTACGTTCTTTCCAGGTGTGTCTAGCAGTTGATCATGTCATGGGGGAGACATGATTACCACATACAAAATTCTCAGGGGAATTGACAGGGTAGACAAGGATGGATTATTTAACACGGGTGGTACATGCACAAGGGGTCACAGGTGGAAGCTGAGTACCCACATGAGCCACAGAGACATTAGAAAGAACTTTTTCAGTGTCAGAGTAGTTAGTAAATGGAATGCATTAGGCAGTGATGTGGTGAAGGCTGACTCCATACACAGTTTCAAATGTAGATATGATAGAGCCCAGTAGGCTCAGGAACCTGTACACCAGTTGATTGACAGTCGAGAGGCGGGACCAAAGAGTCGAAGCTCAACCTTTCTCAAGCACAACTAGGTTAGTACACACACACACACACACACACACACACACACACACACACACACACACACACACACACACACACACACACACACAGCATCAAGTAGGTTGTAACACTCACCAAACAGGGCCTCCGTCCTGCTGGTCCATGACTGGTGAAGGAGTAGGGTGAAGCAGAGGCCCCACAGGTGACGCAGAAGGCGGCGACGGTGCTGCTGGTGGTGGTGGTGGTCAGAGGAGAGAGAAACTACCAATACCAGTCACCAACCAACTGGCTTCGTGGCTCCCAGGTCCACCTTGTGGCTCTCTCACTCTCACAGCAGGTACTCCACTAATTCCTCTAGTTCCTCCTACTTTCCTCGGTTTCTTGTTGCTTTCCTTGGCTTCCTGTTTCTCTCCTTGGCTTCCTGTTGCTTTCCTTGGCTTCCTGTTGCTTTCCTTGGCTTCCTGTGGCTTTCCTTGGCTTCCTGTGGCTTTCCTTGGCTTCCTGTGGCTTTCGTTGGCTTCCTGTGGCTTTCCTTGGCTTCCTGTTGCTTTCCTTGGCTTCCTGTTGCTTTCCTTGGCTTCCTGTTGCTTTCCTTGGCTTCCTGTGGCTTTCCTTGGCTTCCTGTGGCTTTCCTCGGCTTCCTGTTGCTTTCCTTGGCTTCCTGTTGCTTTCCTCGGCTTCCTGTTGCTTTCCTTGGCTTCCGGTTGCTTTCCTCGACTTCCTGCTACTTTCTTTTACTTTAAGAGAGTGGTAGTGTAACCCATCACCTCTCTGGATGTATGTATGCTGCTGCCCATGAATTCCTAACGCATGTTTATCACAAACTACAACACCACACATACACTATGTCGCAGATGTTCATGTCTAGTAGTCCTCGCAATGTATAACAATTCCCATCTTAGAATGTCTTGTGAGATTTATTTTCATACATTAATTGCCGGTCATACACGCCATATTTGGGGGTCTCTCTGGTCCGTCCTGACCACGGCACCTCGACTGACGTCTTCACCTGCAGGACAAATGATTACAGACACGCCAAAAATATATATCATGATTTTTATTTTGACAAAAGTAGGGCATCCGGTTAGTAGGTGGATGAATGGACCCCTTCAATAGGTGCCTCGTTAGTGGTTGGTGGAGGCGTGAACGGTGCCCCTTGGAGGGGAGAACTAATATAGGGGACATGATAAGAAGATACTAAGGGGAATGTAGGCAAGATGGACAAGGATAGTTTCTTAAATTTAAAGAGTAGAACGAGGGGACTTAAGTGTGCTTCCAACTTCCACTTAAGTGTAAGGAATGTATGGAAATACTCGCACCCTGTACGGGTGGTCAACAAGTGGAATGTAATGAAAGTAGAAGTTGTGGAAGCCACCTCCATCTACAACTTTAACGCCGAGACTCGAAAAATAATTCGAATGTCAGAATAGTTCAATTGTAACGCAACAGGAACACCAACGAGTGATGGCCACACACACACACACACACACACACACACACACACACACACAGCTTGAGGCTTCAAGAAGATCTGGACAAGCTGCAGGAATGGTCGAACAAATGGCTGTTAGAGTTTAATCCAAGCAACTGTAATGTAATGAAGATAGGGGTAGGAAGCAGGAGACCAGATACAAGGTATCACTTGGGAGAGGAAATACTTCAAGAGTCCGAGAGAGAGATCTGGGGGTTGATATCACGCCAGACCTGTCCCCTGAAGCTCATATCAAGAGGATAACAGCAGCAGCATATGCCAGGTTGGCTAACATAAGAACGGACTTTAGAAACTTGTGTAAGGAATCTTTCAGAACGTTATATACCACACATGTCAGACCATGCTGGTGCCGCATACTCCAGGATTGGAGTCCATATCTAGTCAAGCATAAGACTAAAATGGAAAAGGTTCAAAGGTTTGCCACCAGACTAGTACCCGAGCTGAGAGGTATGAGCTACGAGGAGAGACTACGGGAATTAAACCTCACTTCGTTGGAAGACAGAAGAGTTAGGGGGGACATGATCACCACATTCAAGATCCTCAAGGTAATCGACAGGGTTGATAAAGACAGGCTGTTTAACACAAGGGGCACACGCACTAGGGGACATAGGTGGAAACTGAGTGCCCAAATGAGCCACAGAGATATTAGAAAGAACTTTTTTAGTGTCAGAGTGGTTGACAAATGGAATGCATTAGGGGGTGATGTGGTGGAGGCTGACTCCATACACAGTTTCAAGTGTAGATATGATAGAGCCCAATAGGCTCAGGAACCTGTACACCTGTTGATTGACGGTTGAGAGGCGGGGCAAAAGAGCCAGAGCTCAACCCCCGCAAGCACAACTAGGTGAGTACACACACACACACACACACACACACACACACACACACACACACACACACACACACACACACACACACACACACACTCACACATTCCCGTAGGGTATCGATTCATTTCTCTCAATGTTTGCGGACGATGCTAAAATTATGAGAAGGATTAAAACAGAAGAGGACTCTTTGAGGCTTCAAGAAGACCTAGACAAGCTGAAGGAATGGTCGAACAAATGGTTGTTAGAGTTTAACCCAACCAAATGTAATGTAATGAAGATAGGTGTAGGGAGCAGGAGGCCAGATACTAGGTATCATCTGGGAGAGGAATTCTTCAGGAGTCAGAGAAGGAAAAAAGACTTGGGGGTTGATATCACGCCAGACCTGTCTCCTGCAGCACATATCAAGCGGATAACATCAGCGGCATATGCCAGGCTGGCCAACATACGAACGGCATTCAGAAAACTTGTGTAAAGAATCATTCAGAACTTTGTATACCACATATGTCAGGCCAATCCTGGAGTATGCAGCCCCAGCATGGAGTCCATATCTAGTCAAGGATAAGACTAAACTGGAAAAGGTTCAAAGGTTTGCCACCAGACTAGTACCCGAGCTGAGAGGTATGAGCTACGAGGAGAGACTACGGGAATTAAACCTCACTTCGCTGGAAGACAGAAGAGTTAGGGGGGACATGATCACCACATTCAAGATTCTGAAGGGGATTGATAGGGTAGATAAAGACAGTCTATTTAACACAAGGGGCACACGTACTAGGGGACACAGGTGGAAACTGAGTGCCCAAATGAGCCACAGAGATATTAGAAAGAACTTTTTTAGTGTCAGAGTGGTTGACAAATGGAATGCATTAGGAAGTGATGTGGTGGAGGCTGACTCCATACACAGTTTCAAGTGTAGATATGACAGAGCCCGATAGGCTCAGGAATCTGTACACCTGTTGATTGACGGTTGAGAGGCGGGACCAAAGAGCCAGAGCTCAACCCCCGCAAACACAACTAGGTGAGTACAACTAGGTGAGTACACACACACCTGTGATACTAGCGCGTGCGAGCAGGTGTGTAACCAGAGCACAGGATCAACAACACGGACACACACGCGTCTATCAGGGGCGACGTCGTATTGTCCACCTGTTGCTGTCCGCTCTACACGGGTCGACACACACACACACACACACACACACACACACACACACACACACACACACACACACACACACACACACACACACACACACACAGAGGCCGTGTTTGCCACTGTCAATAACATTTAATTCAACAATGCTCGCGGACGGCCGGCTGCCGTTATTGAGCAAGCAATACTGTCAAGGGTTGACCGCCGGGTGTGTTTGAGGAGAGTTGGAGAGGTGAGGGAGGCAGGTGTTGGGGGTCTAGGGCGGTATACACCTTCCCAAGTGTAGCCTTCGTGATGGCTAGGCTCTAGGTGTACTTCAGTTCATTTACTCTGCACCCCATACCCATCCTGTGGGCGGTGGTGTACCCCATACCCATCCTGTGGGTGGTGGTGCACCCCATACCCATCCTGTGGGCGGTGGTGCACCCCATACCCATCCTGTGGGCGGTGGTGCACCCCATACCCATCCTGTGGGCGGTGGTGTACCCCATACCCATCCTGTGGGTGGTGGTGCACCCCATACCCATCCTGTGGGCGGTGGTGTACCCCATACCCATCCTGTGGGTGGTGGTGCACCCCATAGCCATCCTGTGGGCGGTGGTGTACCCCATACCCATCCTGTGGGTGGTGGGGCACCCCACACCCAACCTGTGGGCAGGAGTACACCCCATACCCATCCTGTGGGCAGAAGTGCACCCCATACCCATCCTGTGGGCAGAAGTGCACCCCATACCCATCCTGTGGATGGTACCTGGATGGTGTTCTGGGAGTTGTTCTACTCCCCAAGCCCGGCCCGAGGCCAGGCTTGACTTATAAGAGCTTGGTCCACCAGGCTGTTGCTTGGAGCGGCCCGCAGGACAACACACCCACCACAGCCCGGTTGGTCGGGCACCTCTTGTAGAAATCTATCAAGCTTTTTCCTGAAGACTTCCAACTTTGTTCCGGCAATATTTCTTATACTTGCTGGGAGGACGTTGAACAACCGCGGACCTCTGATGCTCAGTGTTCTCTGATTGTGCCTATGGCACCTCTGCTCTTGACCGGCTCTAATAAGGAGTGAACATATTGTTCACTCCAGTATGTTGTTATTTTACTGTGTAAATTAGGGACCTATCACTCCAGAATATATATATATATATATATATATATATAATATATATATATATATATATATATTATATATATATATATATATATATATATATGACCGAAAAAAGTAAGATTAATAATTCTAACACGAATTTTCTCAATATTTCTTATGTTTCTTTTCACTGTCGATGGTAATTGAAAAATCAATTCTGGTTGAATTGGCCTATCAACCCCTCCAGAGGTTGATAGGCCTTAATAACCCTCCAGAGGTTGATAGGCCTTAATAACCCTCCAGAGGTTGATAGGCCTTAATAACCCTCCAGAGGTTGATAGGCCTTAATAACCCTCCAGAGATTGATAGGCCTTAATAACCCTCCAGAGGTTGATAGGCCTTAATAACCCTCCAGAGGTTGATAGGCCTTAATAACCCTCCAGAGGGTAATAGGCCTTAATAACCCTTCAGAGGTTGATAGGCCTTAATAACCCTCCAGAGGTTGATAGGCCTTAATAACCCTCCAGAGGTTGATAGGCCTTAATAACCCTCCAGAGGTTGATAGGCCTTAATAACCCTCCAGAGGTTGATAGGCCTTAATAACCCTCCAGAGGTTGATAGGCCTTAATAACCCTCCAGAGGGTAATAGGCCTTAATAACCCTCCAGAGATTGATAGGCCTTAATAACCCTCCAGAAATTGATAGGCCTTAATAACCCTCCAGAGGGTAATAGGCCTTAATAACCCTCCAGAGGGTGATAGGCCTTAAGGCCAACACAAAACGAGACAGCACTGGTAAATACAGGTCAAATTTCCTCTGATATACAGAATTTCATTTTGAATTAAATTTCGATACTTATATCAGATACTCAATTTCATATAAAAGAGTTACCCATTAATAATACGTTTTCTTATACATTTAAAGAGAATGTAAATGGGGTTAACTATGGAAAAAACATTTAATATCGTCTAAAACCTCAATATTTTGCATAAATAATTTGTTGGTCCCAATGATGCCACATATTCTAAAATTATATTTAATAATAGTTATGTTTTTATTGAATAAAAATAACCAGATAACGCCCATAAATGTCAATAATGAAAAACATTAATTGACTTTGGGTGAAGAATTTCACTTCACTTGATTTAAGGCGAATTCTAAGGACTGAATCGTAACATTATCCTATACCCAAGTGTAACCTAGTCTGACGGCTGAGTGGACGGCGCTCGGTATTCGTAGTCCTACGGTTCCGGGTTCAAATCCCCGGCGGAGGCGGAAACAAATGGGCAGAGTGTCTTTTAACTTGATGCCCCTGTTCATCTAGCAGTAAATAGGTACCTGGGAGTTAGACAGCTGCTACGGGCTGCTTCCTGGAGGGGGGGGGTAACAAAAGAAGCCTGGTCGAGGACCGGGCCGCAGGGACGTTAAGCCCCGAAATCATCTCAAGATAACCTCA